CCCACACAGCTGCCCTCCCCACACTATCATCTCCCCATCTGCCACCAGAGCCCCTGCCCATGGCTGAAGGCTCTGGGCTACGCTGCAGGACACAGATAAGGGAAACAGTTCCTTTATTCTCCTCTTCTCCCTGTCCTATAACCCAACAAGGCATGATCTCTGACACACAGTACTGCAAACATCTCACACGTGGGGAAGGGATAAATATAAGAAGTGGATGAGCACACCCAGAGACACCAAAGCACTGAAAACAGTTTCCAGCCCAACAACTTGTCAGCATTTAAAGAGGTCGCTTCCTGCAGTTTCCTTTAAAGTTTGTCTCTCTAATTCCACAGCGAAGTTCTTAAAGGTGGTGGGTGGCCTCTTGCTCAAAGCTACACAAATTCCAGAAGGCGGCACACTGCGCTGAATTTTAAAGAGGGTTTCAGGAATTAGACTCATAATCCTGATGTCTTCACCCAGCAAGTCAGTAGAAGTCAAGCTAGAGAACTAAGCGAGCAGACACATGGATAAATATTAAATAGTGAGAAAGTATGGGGTTTAAAGGAAAATATATTCACGAATGTGTTGAAGTTCCAAGAGAGATTACGTGGATAAACTAAGACAGGCCACCTAGACTTCAGGATTTCCAGAAGGTCCCCTCTGATCTCCAAGAAAACTAAACAGCTATGTTTATGGATAAATAATTAGGTAAGACAGGAGAGAGATGGTACAGTCAGTTTTCACAAAGGAGTGAGATAACCCCTTGAGTCCCATAGATCTCTCTACTGCAGCCTTCTCTTTTACATCCTTAAGCATGAAAAAGGTGGGGTGAGAAAAAGGAGATTTTGTTTCAATAGCAAATCACTTGCTGACAATATTAAATCATTAACATGAAAGCGAACTCTAAAGCACACTCCTGTCCCCTGAAATGCCTTACACAACAGGGATTTGGTTACAGATAACTTCAGAGTCCATCAGCACTCCTTCTTGGATTGATTTCTGCAGGTTCTGGATCCCACACACCTTTCTTTTCATGTTCTTGCTCCAGTGGCTCCAGAATACCATCATCTTCATCCCTGTACCCGTAGTATTCTGCATCAATGGACTTCATCAGCTCAGCTCGAGTCTTCCGGGGCGGTGGGAGGGCTGCAAGAACACACGACTGTCATTCATACTGGAGTCCCAGTATGGAGCAAGGCTACTATATTAAAGGAACTGAAAAACTGTCCCAAGCTCCCCCAGACCATGTCATACTTCCCATAATTTTTCCTTGCATATGGCAAAAAGGAGCTGATTCAGCATTTTCAGGGCCAAATAATTCCCACTCGTTCTATGACAAATCAAAATATAAGATTTTATCCACTTACATCTAGTTTTTCCTGTTATGAAAGCTGGTTCCTGCTTCTAAAATTATGTCCAAGCCAACTTTTTTTTTTTTTTTTCCAAATTATGAACTCAAGAGTACAGTTTAGAACTTATCAATAAAGTTAACCTGTTACGCTGGAGGGTTTCTACGGAACATTAGTCCTTGCTATTTTGAACTCCTGGGAGAAAACACTTTACTCTTATTTCTTTAATTAAACTGCAAACAGCCAAAGGTGTTCTTTGCCCAAAGAAACAGCATTTAATTACTCGTGTTCAACATTTAATTTAGTCAATCTAAGGCACAGCCCAGGTGTTTGCTGTTACTTGCACTCCCCCCATACTACAGCACATCTCTTACTCCAGAGATCCTAGGGGGCAGGCTCAGGTCAGGGAAGAGTTGCTATTTACTTACGCTCCTTTTCGAAAAGTTCTCTAACTCCTGGTAAATCCTTTGCAGCTCCAAAATATTTGTAACCTCTGTTTCCAGGAACTTCTTTCCCTTCATGATCTAACATTTTTGGTCCAATCCGCTGGAAAATAAACAGAATTAATTGTTTAAAAATGTATTCCTTTTGCATCTTGTATTTCCTTGGCCTCTTACTAGATGAAAGGACTGAGAAAGGAGGTATGTTACACCAGTTCAAACAACCCCACAAGTAAAAGGCCCTCATAGCTCATTTTTACATACATTCTCTTCTTTTAATACAAATCACAGTTAAAACAACCACACGAACCACACCTGATTCACCTTGACATAAAACAGCCAACCCTGCCATCCTCTGTACTAGTATATTCAGGCATCAGACAAACAAGCTTTACTAAGTCTGACAATAAGCAGAATTTGCTGTTTTGATAAGTGAGAACTAGTCCCATTATTTAATTTTCAGCAGTAACGAGGTGAGCTAAGTGAAAACCTTTCTACAGACTGATAAAGGACAATACAGGAAAAAACCCCCCCCCCCCTGATGGGTCAAATCAGAGCATGGCTGCAAACTCCTACCAGGAAGGTAAGCCCTCCTGAACCCGTGTTCCCAATGAAAAGCCTGATTTTCTCATCATTGAAACAAATATTTCTTCTAACACAATCTAACATCTTTAGGGGCTGAATAAAGTTCCTCTCTAATAGGTTAGATATACTAACCAAGTAATACGTGGTTAGCTGAACATTGCACAGATGTCCTCACTAGTCAACTAGTCAAGCAGAACAACGAGGTAGGACAAACTAATCCCCACTTACAGCATAATCTGGACCTCCCAGCTCCTTTATTCTGAATTCCCAGTGTCCCTTCTCCCTCAGAAGTTTGTTTATTTCATCATTCAGGTCCCGAATTCTGAATTCACCTAATCCGGCTGTTAATGAAAAAGGCAATAAATTAGGCAGCTTCCTAGAAGCACCAGAATAATCTCAGAATTTATGCAATGGAAACAGTACAGTTCACATGAAATTTGATTTCTGCTGTAACTGCTTGCGACTGGAGATTCAAAAAAAACCAAAACGTAATTAGAAAAATCTTACCATTTTGAATCTGTGCCACTTTCTTGGATATTTCACCAATGATCTAGGTAAATAAGAACACATAAGTTAATTTCTAAAAA